CCGCTGTAAACACAAATAAAACAAATGACTCTCCTGTGAGCTTTAGTTGCCCTTTCCCCCCCTTGTCTCCACAAGGCAATTGCAGAACAGTCAAATTATTTTCAAATTTCCATGCAAATTTGCTGTTCAAGAGTTTAGATACTCAACATCCTGCTTTACTCACACAATGACACGAAAGAAAAAAGCAAATGTCTTTCACTGCATATCTCTAGGTGGCAATTGCATGGCTGGCATTTGCTAACCAGGAATAAAAACAGACCTAATGCAGTCAGCAGCAAAACCAACACCACCAAGAAATGTACAATGCAAAAGCAAATCCTGTGGCTGTTAGTATTTGTACTTCAGGTGGGAGCACCACACAGCAGTGCCGATGGTTGTAAGAATGATAGAAATAAACTCATTACAAATGCAACAGCAACAGTGGTTACATGTGAATCACCAAAGAAGAAAATTGTGCCTCACCAAAACAGAGGACTAAAGAGAAAAGCTGTTTGTGTAAAATTTGCACATGCTCATTTTCATATTTATATGGAGAATGGAAACAATTATAGTTTAAATATAAATGCAGTACATCTCAAGATGAGACACTTGGGCCAGGATTGTAAGGAGCTCCAAAGGGATCTCTCTAAGCTGGGAGAATGAGCATCAAAATGGCAAATGCAGTTCATCATAAGCCAACGTAAAGTAATGCATGTTGAGGCAAAAACTCCCAAGACTGATGGGATCTGAGTTAGCTGTGTCTGAACAAGAAAGGAAGGTTGGGGTGGTGGTGGACAGCTCAATGAAAATGTGTGTGCCCTGAAAAAAGCAAACTTAATCCTGGGCATAATTAGGAAGGAATTGAAAATAAACCTGCCAAGATCATACTCCTTTTATACAAATCTTTGGTGTGGCCTCAGTTAGAATATTGTGTAAAGTTCTGGTCACCAGACCTGGAAAAGGTCATTACTGAGTTGGAAAAAGTGCAGAGGAGGACAACTAGAATGATCAATGAGCTGGAGCAACTCCCCTATAAGGAATGGCTACAAGTACTGGGATTATTTTGCTTAGAAAAAAAGGCAAGTACTGGGAGACATGATGGAAGTGTTTAAAATGATGCATGATGTGGAGAAAGTGGAGAGGGAGACATTTTCTTCCTCTCCCATAATACTAGAACCCAGGAGCATTCAATGAAACTCATTGGTCAGAGATTCAGAACAGATAAACGCAAGTATTTCTTTACACAGCAAATAATTAAACTATGGAATTCACTGTTATGGGATGTGGTGATGGCCACTAATTTAGCTTTACAAGGTGACTGGACAAATTCATGGGCGAGAGGGCTATCAGTGACTACTAGCCTTGATGGCTATATGCTACGTGTTATCAGAAGCAGCATGCTTGCATACACACGTTGAGCTTGGGTACGGAGACACTTTGAAGGGTCCAGTGGGCACCTGCTTTGCTACTGTGCAGTTGAAGCGCTGGACTAGAAGGACCTTTGGTCTGATCCATCATGGCTTTTCTTATGTTCAGGTGCCCTGCATGCCTTGCTCAGTCTGCTGAACAGGTGCTACTGATAAGTAATTTAAAGGCCCAGCTCTACCATCTGATGGTTCTTTATTTTGAAAACAGATTTAGGACTGGACAACCCTTCAAACAAAGGATGCCTTCAAAGTAGAAGGTAACCCTCTGGTAGCCCTTCAAACAGAGGGCTGTGCTCTGTAAAAGAGAACAATCCCATTATGAGTGACAGAGGCAGTCATGTTAACTTCCCACACTTCTGTGAAACTCGTCCAGGGCACTGTGGGATATTTAAATGGCAGCTCCCTGGAGCCATCATGAGATCTAAGAGACACCAGAGCAGATGTCAGCAGCTGGGCCTAACAAATACCCAAAGATGCTGTGTGATGACACCAGCCCTTTCTAATAATAACAGCTGGCACAATTAGTGGTGCTATTACTGTCAGGATTTTGGCCACACACAGCTCCGTTACTTTCTTTTCACATGCACTGCATGGATGTGGTGCTTTCATCCTTAATATTCTTGATAATATTTCTTGTCTACATCTATTAGTGTTCTGCCCTAAAGTCCTGCATAACTTGTGACAGATAACCTCCCTAATGAAGCCTCCAGTGAATTTCGAGGGATGCCGACTCCCTGTTCTGTGCCCACGAGGGACTTCAGACACAGGGGTATGTCAAGCACATGGGCTACTACAGGTGCTTGGAGGGCCACACAATAGAGGGGTGGTGATTTGTAGTGAAGTTTTAGAGAGCTCTACTAAGACTTTTTGGTACAGGGAGTAGAAATGCACAGGTTCTTTCATTTTGGCAGATCTGTAGCATAGAAAAATAGAAGTATTAAAAGTAGAAGTATTTACTGTTATTTAAAAAAACAACCCTGTCCAGGACATTCTGATAACAGTGTGGATTTTACTCCCAGAACCACTTTGCTCACCTATATATTACTATATCCCAAGAGAAACACATTTAGAAGTAAACCAGAAGTATGCATAGCCCTTAAATATTCTGATAAAATCTATGTGTAATTTGTTCATAGAGATTCTCCCACATGGAAAAAAGAGAACAGCACACTTCTGTGCATGTTTACTGAGAAGTACTTTTGTTCAATGGATCTTATTTCTGGCAATGTATGCATGATAGCCTAACATTGTAGATATATCTCTCAGTGTTGTATCTATTTTTTGCCTATATGGGTTATTTAAGTCTAGCAAAGTTTCATCCATTTTATTGCTCAATATGATGAAAAGGATATAACCTTTGAACTGCAAATCAAACTTACCCCCCATGCAGTTTATTACTATCTGGAGAATAAGACATTTGAAATGAAAGAAGAGAGTTTCTCCACCCCACTCCCAGAATAAGATGTTACAGCTTAAACCCACGTAAAGCTTCAAAAGCTACTTCTTCTTCAGACACATGAATTGTTAAAGAACTCTTCACAGCCCATCAAGCAATGCCAATATTATAAAATTTATAGTCACGATTAGCCCTAGTCTCATCAGGGAAAGCAAGCAACTGACCTGGAGCTTTTAACTCTCTGGGTCCATGAAGCCAAGGACTGAAGTAATGCTGACAAAGCATTATGTTAGTAAGACCCAGGACATGAAAGAACCAAACAGGACTGGATGGGAGCAAAGTGATTTTGCTGGGGGATCCAACTTGTTCAAAGAAAGAGAAGAGTGCAATTCTGCAGGTGACTTTCTGGAATTATTGCACCAGCAACAAATTCCTATACCTTAAGTGGAAGTTTTCTGGTTTGGATTTGCAGAGATTACACAGTCATGTATGATAATGATTTCATTCCAAATGTGAGAAAAAAATACACCAAAGCATCCAACGCCCCATTAGAATAGGAGGCAGATGTGATAAATGTTCCGAATAAAACATGGCCATTAAAAGTCATGCAATGTGGAGTGCCCTTAACACATCTTGTATGACTCACCTCCTCCCTTGGGAGGGAAGGGTTATCCTTTGATTGGCTGACTCAGGCTAGGCGAATGAGCCGAAGAGCTTTTAAAAAATTATATTAACCCAGGGAATGTGACCTCAGGAAAGGGAAAGCATTGCACGTGTGTGCCAGCATGTGCATGCACAATTAGCAAAATGCTGCTGCTGAACCAGGATTCACACCTTCTTCCTGACACTGCACTGCAGCATGCCAGCAGCCAGGAAGATGGAAGAAGCCTCTGCACAGTACCGGGGCAGGGGAGAGGGAATTTGGCAGGGGGAGAGCATCACATACCCTACCCTTTGATTGACCCCATGTCTGGTCAGGATGCTCTATGTCTTTACCTGCCTAATCATATCCAACCATAGTGTATACAAAATGCAGGTTAGCAGGGAGGTTTGATCAGCTTCTTAAAGAGAAAAGCAGCCATGGAGCAGTTCAGCAAGATTTCACAGTAAAATCCAGCCGGCTGCTATGTAACTATTACTTAAATAGCAAATGTCCATGGTAGGGAGAAGATAATGGGTTATATCTTGACATCTTTCCTGACACCATTGATATTCTCTTTGTTTTGGCAGGGAGCTACCACAAGGAATAATTTCTCTAATGGATATCCTCTCTGCCAAGGCCTTGATACCATGATATGTATGTCAGCCATTTTAATTAAGAGACAGAATTAGACTTTCTCAATAATTAACCTTTCTTTATTGTTGTATGCTTCCCCCCCCCCATTTCCCTTCCATGTAAGAAAAAATGTTCAGTAGAAAAAGAAAGCCATTGTCTGTATGCAGATGTTCTTCTCTCTGCTCCACTGCAATGCTTTTCATCTGATAAAGGTGGCATGCGTGTACCAAACTCTCTAGGCAACTTTCCACATGGGAAGCAGCTCAGGGTGAATGGTTGATTGGCATAGTTGGCTGAGAGCATGAGCTAATTGATGCTAGCCCTGTTAGGAATGAACAAGCATGCATGAAAAAAGGGAGGTTTTGATAGCATGGCTGAAATCAGCCTGTATCATGTGAAGAGGATCTGAACTAGAGCCCCTCCCCTGTATCAGGGAGTGCTGTCCTGGTATTTATGCAAAACACATGTACAACTGTTGGGACACCTGCTAAGGAACACAGCACAATTTCTGCCATGCTGAAAATGCAGTCCACATGATTGCAATTGCCCAAGAAATAGGAGGAGTTGGAAATTTATTTATTTATTGATTTACTAAATTTGTTTAAAGGCCACCTATTAGCATCAGGAAAGGTGACAAGTGCAGGGGAAATGACCCTTTTGATTTCATTTTCGTGTATTTGTTTTTAGATCTGTTAAGCTTATGCGCATATTAACCAATGTGAAGGAGCAGAATTTTTTTAAAGTCACTTTTTGCTCTTTTGCAAAGCCTGAACAAACCCTGCCTTCTGTGCTGACCTAAGCACTATGGAAAACAGGGTGATTTACTTCTGAGTAGATGTGTACATCAGGTGAGCTCTCAGCTAGTTGTTCTCAGAGGCAAGAAAATTAAAGGGACAAAAGAGACAATTGGAAGGCTTGAAAGTACATTCCAAACTTTATTTTTTCAAAGAATATGACAGAGGAAGGAAGAGTGAAAGCATTGCATTTATTCTCCAGTTCACTTGGCAAGGGGTAAGCCATTGTGTGGACAGTGAGGGAAGAAGGAAAACAACTCAGGGCTGACTTGGCTTGCCTCCTCATTGGAGATGCTGCTATTCTGCAGTATCTATTTACTAGACCCTGCTAGCACAGCCTTAAGCAGCCTTCCTCACCAGACACTTGAAGCAATGTGAGATGTCTGAATTAGTCATGGATTCCCCCTTCTGCACATGCTCATGAGCAAATCCTTAAAAAATAAAAGGCTAAATAGGACATGTCCTCATTGCAGTGCCACTCCCCACCCCTCTACCCAACCGCTTTCTTTCAAAATAGATACTGCAGAAAAACATGCAGGGTATAAACATGTAGGATATAGTAGTAGAAACCATGTGAGGTCCATTTAGGGTGAGTGTCGTCGGACATCCTCATGAGCCATGCATTAGGGCAACTGTCAAAATCTGAAGTATAGATCCCTCCCATGTGGGAGTTCATAACTGGCAAGCACTTGATTCAGAATGGGTCCAGTAAATTTGGGTCCAGTGCAATTTGGATCCTATACAGCAGGGGTCTCAAACTCGCAGCCCGCAGGCCAATTGCGGGGATGGGCGGGGAACAGGGGAGGGGCCCTGCAGCCTTCAAAGCACCGGTGGCACCCAGGCCGGCCTCCGGATGAGCGGCCCACCACCACCGCAGTGGTGGAATACTTGATGTGGCCCAGCCTCACCCAGACTCTACTTCCAGCGGCCCCCAGGTAAGTTGAGTTTGAGACCCCTGCTATACAAGATGGATCAGGAGCAGAATGGGGGCTGGACATGTCTCTGCTCCTAACTCCTTCTCAGTCATTCCTTTTCCCTTCTCTTGCAGCCAGATGATTGCTTTCTTTTCTTCCTTTGAACATAATAGGCCTTTGCCTACTAACCAGAGATGGCCTCTTCCAGGGCTTCGGTTCAGTCACTTCAGGCATTTTGTACCTGTGGGTACAAAACAAATATAGATTCTACCAGAATGCATAGGGTTGTCTCACTCTCCAAATGCTGGCAGGCATAACAGCCACCCTGGGTAATGCATCATTTCAGTCAGCTGGGCTTATGTGTGTAGGATTCCCTCAGTCTGACACTGATGACATGGCCTGCATGCACATTCATGGCTATCTCAGGAACAAACTTATCCCATGTTTTCTCAATAGCTCCTTCACGTTTTGGCCTTCCGACACACCAAAGGAATGAAGGAATACATAAAAGAAGGCACAGTTTCCAACTTGGAAGAACTGGACAGGACTGTTTGGAGGGCTGTTGTTCCTAGGGTCACCATAAGCCAGAGATGACCTGACGGCAAATAAAAACAACATGTACCAAATGCTTGAAAGGGGATCTAGATAATGGTCTAATAATGCATAATACCAGCTAGACTGTTAGGAACTGTAAGATGTGTAGCTCCCTTAGTTCCTGATGTTCCTGGATCATGAACAATGCCTTTGACTTTCTAATTCCCCTTCTGAGATCTCCGAGTATCGTAGCATGGGCTGTTTTCCACAGCACAGTCCCATCAAAGGGCAGCCAAGAAGGAAGGCACCACAGTGCTTGCTTTTATGGTCACAACCATGCCACAGATTCAGCATATTTAATATTTCCTGTGCAAACTCACTCTTTCAAATGTTTAATATTTCCTTTCAAACTCGCTTGTTCAATGTTTGTGCAGTACCAGCTGCTGAAAGAGTTTACATTATTTCAACAATTAATTGTAATGGCATATGACATATTTCTGGTGAGCCCAAAGGGATCTCTTCCCTATTAATTTTTATTCGTGGTGAGAGGTCAAATATATAATGACAACCAATTAGGAACGTTACTTTTCTTGGCATTTCACAGATATATTATAGGAACTGATAACTATATGAGGAGGCAGATATAACTATGCTTTACAATTGCACTGGCTTTGTTTAGTAAAATAATTGTGTGGGGCAACTGGGGGAAAGTGGTAACGCCTGGATCTCTCTTGCATTAGTGCTATTATTTATGTATTGCTTCCCCCTCCTATCTGGTGCTTTTCAGTACTTCACTCCAATTAACTCTGTTCTTTATATTGTTTTGATTCCTTCATCTTCTTAGAGCGTTCATGATTCGACTGAAAATGTCTTTCATCCATAATCAAAAGTAGATTCTGTATACTAAGCTCTATGTTTCAATTTTTGTCTTCCTTGTTAACATTTTGGGAAGTTAGTAAGATCAATCTTTGAAGCACAGCTACCCTAGTAAAATGGAGTGGAATAGGATAGCTACCTGGCATAGCATTTCCGTAGCTAATACTACTATAAGTCAGTCTGACACTAAAGGGTATTCCAAAGACCAGGAAATAAAAAGGCATTAAATGAGAATGCTGACAATTGCTAATTGCTTCTCTCTTTGTTAATGTATATGGGATATCCAGGTTTTAGTTTCAGTACTGCTTGTGTGTAATGCTGGATTATGGTGCTGAGCTTGATCTGCAATGTTTGATCTGCAATGTTTAGCTGCAATTCTATGGAAGCTTTCCTGGGAGTAAGCCCCATTATTGTTACCCTCACAACAACAACAACCCTGTGAGGTAGGTTGGGCAGAGAGTCTGTGACTGCCTAAAGTTGCCCACTGAGCTTCAAGGCCAAATGAGAACTAGAACCAGGATCTCCTGGGTCCCCCATCCAGCAGTCTAACCACTACTCTGCACTGGCTCTCCATTGAACTTTTTGAGGAAAATGCATAGGATTCCATTCTTCACTTTTACTCTTTTGCCCAGTTTGCATATAATGACATATTAAGCCATGATTTATGTATTAATGCATAACTGATATGGTGAACTCCACTATCTCTTTACATATGCAGCCTCCCATAGGCTTCAGATTTGCTCCACAATAGGATGACACCATGGGTTAACCATGGGTTAAATAAACCAAAGGTTCAAAATAAACCAAAGATTTATTTTAGGGTTTAGTTGCTAAGTTCCAAATAGTAATGGCATACATGTAGCATGCACTGCAGCAAATTGTGAGTTAATTATTCTACAATTTGCCACTGTTACATCCAAGCAGACTCTTTATTTTCATCCTTGTTCACAGATGAAAAATTATACAGAATGTATTAATGCATAATTTAACAGTACAATATATGGCATTGCCTGTCTGATCATTCTGAGGCCTCTTTGCCTCTTTTGAGATATAGATTGTGTATAGTTAGACATTGGGCTTTGGGAGTGGCAGGAAATTTACCCCTCCTTTCTTCCCCACTCCAATTCTGTGGATGCTGGCTGATTGGCCATAGGAACTTTTCAGGACCCAGCTCCAACCTTGGAAATGTTCGCCCTCTGAACTTGCAGCTGTTGCAGAAAGAACTACCCTGACTGTAGCTCTGGCATCACAAGACCAGGAAGTGTGGCAAGGAGGCTCCTGTAAGATAGGCTGATTTATTTATAATTATATGCCACCTCATAACCCTGAGGTGCATTGAAAACCTCTGAGGTGGGCTGGATCTGGCCCCCGGGCCATAGTTTGAGAAACCATGTCATAACCCAAAGGTGCTAGAGTGCTAGAGCATAAAACATGCATAAATTACATTAAAACAGTTATTAATCAAAGATAAATCTATAAAATAATAGAATGATAGCATCTCAAATAAAATATACTCACATGCACCAGTAAACAAAACCAATAAATTAATCAAAATTAAATTAAGATTAAAAAATCCATAACAAAACTAAAAGTATTAAATAAAATTAAATCAACCAAAAACTTGTTTAAATAAAAAAGTTTTCACCTGGCACCTGAAAGAAAGAAGAGTAGGCACTGGCTGGATATCCCTGGGGAGTGAATTCCATAGTCTAGGCACATCCCAGTGGAGATCAGCCTGTCTTTTCTACAAACAGGAGCTGAAATCGTCTTAGTCTTTGGCAATCTTCACATCCATGCTCCACGTAGCCTTGATCATAATGCTCTGAGCATTGAAGGTTATGGATCATAATGTGCCCATAATGGACTGAGTGCTGAGGGCTCTGGGCAGTCACATTGGATCACACTAAGTGAAAGCAGCACACTCTATAGTGCCCATATTTCTCCCAGAGCTAGTTTCAAGTATTCATTCTCATCCTGGGTGCTCCTTCGCTGAATTTTGTCTTTTCATTTCTCCATTCAGTGTTTGCACTCCTATCTTCAGAACTCCTCCCTCCATTTGCCAAACTTGGCAGCTTGCCTGTCCTTATCTTTCTTCATAAAGCCAGTCTTCCATCCTCTTAATCATATTTGCCTTTGAGCTTTCTCTCATTTGTCAACAGCTTTTCAAAATGCAATAAAATGAATGCAGCATTTCATAGGCACTTACTCAAAACCCTCCTATCAAGGGCCTGGATCCAAAGAGCTACTTTAGGCATGACCAATGGCTTGGACATGTGCAACCAGTGAGATGAATGCCTCTCTTCCCTTTGAACTGCAGGGCCCCTGTGCTGTATCAAAAACTCCCTTTAAAAGCCCCTTTTGTTTCAGGACTACCGTATTTTTCGCTCTATGACGCACTTTTTTCCTCCTCAAAAGTAAGGGGAAATGTCTGTGCGTCTTATAGAGCGAATGTGTGTGTGCCCGACGCCTGGGACGCTGCCAGCCTGCCTGCACCACATGGCACCACCTGGCCAGCACGCGCTCGGCGCACGCTGCTCCGCCCCCCCCTCCAGCGCAGGTGAGAGCTGTGCCGCTCAGGGGGAGCAGTGTGGAGGAGGAGGAGCCGCAGGCTTTAACCCACTGGCTGCACGGAGAGACAGACTACTCACCCCCACTGCCCGGGAAGACCTGCCACGGAGGAGGAGGAGCCGCGGGCTTTAACCCGCTGGCCACACGGAGAGACAGACTGCTCACCCCCACCGCCCAGGAAGACCTGCTGCCGCCGCTCCACCCGGAAGACCACCGCTGGCACGCTGCCGGCCCGGCTGCACCACACCTGGCCGGCACGCGCTCGGCCTGCCCTGCTGCGCCCTCCTCCTCCAGCGCAGGTGAGAGCTGTTAATCACAGGTCAGTGTGTGTTTTAAAATGGCAACCTGTCTTTTAATGAAGCCCATGGGGAAGTGATGGGGAATGTGCCTGTGATTATCAGGAAGCTTTCCATGGATCCCTCCTCTAAAAACTAGGTGCGTCTTATGGTCAGGTGCGTCTTATAGAGCGAAAAATATGGTAATTTGTTTATGGCAATGCAAGAGGCAACTTGAGGAATATAAGCCTAATTCTGGCACCAGGTTAAGACATTTTTATTTGAAGAGCATTTTAATTGTTGACTGTTTTAGGTTTAATTTTTAAAAAAAAAATCTGACTGTCATTTTAACTAGTTTATTTAACTAGTAAATTTGGTATTTTAATTGTGATCTTTTAAGATTTATCCAATCTGTTATGTTAATATATGCTATTACTTGGTATCCCTGCTGTGATGGCAATGTTGTATTGTTTTATTGTCTATTGGTATTGATGTTTTAATTGTTTTATTTATGTAGTTTATGTTTTGTTATGATTTTAGTAGGTAAGCTGTCCAAAGAGCCATGAGGCTATTGCAACAGTATACAAAAGTGTTAAATAAAATAACTAAATAATGGATGAAACTAACTTCAGTCAGGCTGGCATTAAAGGTAGGCAAGGTTGTGATCCTGCCAAACACCAGCAAGGATCCACTGAGAAGAGGTCCCTGAGCCTGTTCCTTGCCTATTTCCAGCCCAGACAACACTGGTGGAAAGGAGGAACAATGGGTTTATTTATTCTTACATTTATATCACTCACTGATGGGGAGAACCCACAAAGGTGACTTGGGTCTGGCACTGGCCTGAGTTCTCTGTGTCCTACAAGAAGTTTAATATTACTAATAATTTGCATGGAAGGATACTTTAAAGAATGGACAATACTTTTAAGGATGGAGAATTATGCTGTAGTTATTGGCTTAACTTTGGGATTTAAGGACTCTGGCCTTTTCATCTTCCTTCAATTTTTAGTGCTGTTGTGGGCAAGTCACTCAAACTCTGTTTCATCTTTTAGGTTCCGAAGTAGAAAGTGAAGATCAACATTTCATACTAGTAATCAGAGAGTTGTTTAGAGATATTTTAGCAATAGTATGGTTTAGCGATAGCAAGAAAATGCAGGTATCATGTGTCACAGCCAACAGCCTCCTCCATAACATGTTTAAAATAGAGGTGCTCCTCAGATTTGTTTGAAGCATGACCTGAAGTAGGCACTTCGGATCATTTCTGGCACTTCCTTTTAGAATGGCCAGAACCAAAGCTGGGCCCTGCATGAATCCTTGTGTGCAATTTAAGCTTTGGAAATGCAGGCGTTTTATTTCTTTGTAAATGCTGAAGTCCAAAAATCCTTTTCTTTTCCCTTCTCTGTTATCAAATCAATCTTTCTCTGGGACCTTTGACTAAAGTGAAACATTCCTTTTTGTCTAATGCCACCATGCTTCACTATCTGTCTATTTAAAGAAAGCTTCAAATGTTCTGTCTTCACTACTCCTTAGCCCCTTCTCCTATCCTTCTAACACTTTGAGCCTCCCATGCCTGGGGACACCATTGTGATGGGTGCAACTTTCATGTAAATTGTCCAAACAACCACGAAACCACTCCCCACTTTAAATGTGGAGACTCATAAACTGCTTTACCTATCCTTCCAAAACTTTTCAGGGTTCTTTCTTGGGACTACTTCTAGCATGTCTATCATTTTCAGAACAATGGTATGCAAGGAATAAAGGGAAACAAGTGTGGCCTGTTCTGGATACCTTCAGAATATAAAGGCTGTTCTTGCACAAATATCCCTGTACCTATTCATCTCAAACTTATGAGGCTTGATCCTCTCAGAAGGGATAATTACCCCTACAAACTTAATTCAATGCTGCCAATAAATTAAAGGTTACGAGCCCTAACCCTAACCCCAACCCCTTTAAAAAACAAAACAAAAACAAACTATGCAACAAAGATGCATAGCACAAAAGAACCTGGTACATATTTTTTTTCTGAAATTTAGCTGGCATTATGCCCTGCTAGACTGCAGGTGGCGCAGTGGTTTAAACCGCTGTCCTGCTGGGCTGGTTGATCGAAAGGTCGCCGGTTTGAATCTGCCCAACAAGGTGAGTGCCTGTTGCTCCATCCCAGCTCCTGCCAACCTTGCAGTTCGAAAGCATGCAAATGTAAGTAGATAAAAAGGTACCACTTTGGTGGGCAGGTAACAGCGTTCTGTGCACCTTGGTGTTTAATCATGCCAGCCACATGACCACAGAGACTGTCTGTAAACAAACGCTGGCTCCCTCGGCTAGGAAATGGAGATGAGCACCGCCCCCTAGAGTCAGGCATGACTGGACTTCACGTCAAGGGGAAACCTTTACCTTTATTCCCTGCTAAGGGGATACTTTGCATGAACATTCATCTAATACTGACAAAGAGGATAGTCATAGGCCTTTTAAAATTTCCCATGATGGTCAATGAGAGGAAAACATTGGATTTCCAAATCACAATTCTGATTCAGTCTGAATCAGTCCAAGCAAAAGCAGACCATTTTCTGAAGTTCCAAATTGGGCACTGTGTCAAATCTGGTGGTTGGCACACACCTCTAATGTAAAGCATGTTTCTTATCACATTTGTTATGTTTGATGTGTCATCTGCTCTTACATCTATGGCAAAGTGCCTGGCATCATAGATTGCCATCTTTATATCTCCCTGTAGGGGAAATGCTTCGCTTGTAGCTGTTCATAGTTTTCCTCCAGATATCCTGTTGTATATAAGATTTCTGCATGATGTTTCTCAGCTCTGACAGCCACAGATAGCTCAAATGGACAGAGCTATATATCAATCAGAAGCACAAAAACCAAGCCAAGAAAATGTCGTGGTGAATTTGGAAGTTGGTAGATTGGTTTTTTAATTCTTTTAATGGAAACTCAATTATATACATCAGTCCCAACCAATCCACCTTTTGTAGGCATGCCATATTGCTCATGCAGTGGGAGCAGGTGGCTGATACCTGCATAATATGGTTCTGTGTACTAATACCCTAATTCAGAATCTCTTGAAGGGATTAATATCTTGACTGTTTAAAATGAGATATTGCTGAAATATGATTGGCAGCTTGTCAGTTCTTCCCAAAATGAAATTGTACTTCTTTCCCAATCTTCTTCCTTTTTATTGCATTTCCTTCCCATCTTTAAAGGTTTAACATGATTTGGCTTACATGCCTAGTAACTTTAGGCTGAAGACTCAAGGAGTGTAAATTACTGTTATTTAAAATAAACGAGGCAAAGCAGGATTATTTTAAGTTATTTTGAAAATAAATCTAGCAGTGGTTGACTGGGTCCAGTGGAGCCCTGTGGCTCCAATGTCAGTGGGGTGGGATGTCTGCATTTTTAAGGAGAAACTTATCCATGGTGTCGAAATTTGGGGATAAAGTTCAGCACCATGAATAGCTCCTTTAAGGTTCTGTTTAAAACCCAAGGAAGATACACCACCCCACTGACACTAGAGTCATCACTCCACTGGCCAAGTTTAAGCTGAACATAACACAATGCACTAGTCAAACATCCACGTCCTTGACAGCTCCCATGAATTCCAGTGAGACTTGAAACTCCTCGGTAGAGGATTGTGTCCTGTGGTCTTTGACATGCGTATTTTTGTGACATATGAAAGCTTCCCCCACCCCCATGAAAATAGAATACTTGGAGCTTGCCTTCCCAAGTCCCATATATCCCTGTCGATCTAATTTGGAAGCTATGTAGAAGCCTCTACATAGCTTCTTAAGCACCACAGAATGCAGCAGATACCCCATCTAAGAGAGACATGGAGGGCTCTGACATTGCAGTCATCTGTCATTTCAAAGAATCATAGAATAGTAGAGTTGGAAGGGGCCATGGAGGCCATCAAGACCAACCCCCTGCTGTTGCAGAACACCATGTTACACCATCCTACTCAGATGGCTGTCAAGTCATCCTCATCTAAGATCTCCTCATCTAAATCATTAATAAAGATGTTGAAGAACACTGGGTTCAGGACTGAACCCTGTGGCACCCCACTAGTTACCTCCATCCATTTTGAGAAGGTGCCATTGATGAGCACTCTTTGTGTCTGATTTAGCAGCCAATTTTGGATCCATCTAACAGTTTTTCCATCTAGTCCAGTTTTTGCTAACTTGCTT